TTGGTGCATAACTTTAGTAGTATGCAGTTTTTCATATTTCATATAATGTTTATATATCATCTATTCTTTAAATACAAAATAATAACCTTTAAATACTGTAATATTTATTTTGTTAAATTTCAAAACTTCAACTAAATCATCGTTCGGTCTTAAATACGGTTGTAGATCTAAGTATATTTTTCTTATAAAAAAACAAAGAAAAAAAAAACCAAAAAAAAAACAATGTTGAAAATAATAAGGACGACCATAATCAAGAACTACGAGCCGACCCGTGGCAAATCATACGCCGCTATTTACTTGTTTTATTATCTAATTTTGAGTAGTTCATAATTTGTGAATTCGACGGTACCACTGCGGTCACTGAACATATTTAAAACACTATCAGTAGCTCGTTAAGGATGATAACCCCCCCCCCCACCCCCCCCCCCCCGAAAATGGGAAAGAATTCTGTCGTCTTATGCTGTGTAGTAATTATTTGTTTGTTTCCCTTAGATGGGGGGGGGGTAGGTAGACACCTGTAGAAAAATGTAGGCCTAAAACCTTACCAATGCGAAGTTGCTGAGCACTAAGTCTAATATCAGATCGTTGAGTAGTTGGAGGTTAAAGCAGAACATTTAGATTGTTGGAGTTTAGTAGTTGAGCGTTGTAATAAGTTCAACACCTGGCCAACGTAAGTGAATGTGTGATCTATCAATTATTGCATTTGGATATCGCTCACTGACCGTAATTGATATAATACATACCAGATATGTTTTTTATGTGAGACATATAGACAAGATATGTGTGCTTTTATAGCGACACGTTTAGACGAGATATTTGTATTTTTAGTTAGATAACTGCAGATCATTTATTTGTAAAGGTTAACTTAATGGGTAAAGTTAGGAAACACTTTAATTTTTAACTATGCATAATAATGTTTAATGACAGTGGATGTGAACTCCATAATTGGAATGCAGTGATCATCTATTGGTTTGTTTTTTCGTCATTAAATATTATTTCATGCTTAATATTAAAACTTAGTATTTAAATTACGTTTATTTTGAATATATTATATATATATATATATACATATATATATATATATATATATATATATATATATATATATATATATATATATATATATATATATACGTATATATACGTATATATATATACCTAATCCAAATCAAATACCATTTATTGAAATAGAAATGTTAGTGGCTCTTTAAAAACTGAGAAATGTTGTAAATTATAACTTTTGGCTCTTTCCTTTCAAAAGGTTGCCGGTTGCCGACCCCTAGGTTACGGTTAGGGCAAGGGCAATTTCGGGGGGGGGGGGGGGGGGGGGGTAGGGGCAAGTGGGTGTCCAGCCCTTTTAAATGAGTATTAGGAGTGCAAAAAAAAACTTAATTATAATGCCATAATTTGTCTTTTTTTAGTACTTTTATTTACAAATTTAAAACAAATACCGTAACATTCCATGCCGTTTGGGTGGATATTTACAAGGTAGTTACATTGGTGTACAGAGTATAGTAAATAAATAGCGAAATATGTAAATGATTACATAAAATACATTGAATTTAAACCTTTTTGGTTCAAAAATTGGACCGAGGCTGGTTTGGAACATTTTTGCCAACAAAAGGTGGATAAAGTATAACGTATGTAAGAATAGTCGAAAACAAAGCTGGTTTGCATGAATTTCATCCACTTCTGTACAATAAACATAGTAAATGCAAAAGACAATTGAATACAAACTAATCAAAACTGTTGGGGTGGGTGGGTGAAAATTTCAATATTTTACCTTTTTTAAAAAAAAATGTTTAATGATTTTTTATTTTATTTTAAAATATGTGTAACTTATGTACACAAAGGAAACAAGGGCTAGTTGAAAAAAAAATGTACAGATCACATAGTGTGTGCTCTCATCCTATGTATAACCAGTAGAGTAGTCATACACAAAAAAACGTAGTTGTTTTACACAGATTTCATTTACATTTGAACAATATAAGTAAAGTTTCCCTTTCAAACCTGAAGGTCTATAGGGCAATTGAAGTAGAGTTCTCGGCATATGAAGAGATAGTGTGGTCAGCAGTATGACCAGCCGCCTACACTTTCCCTAACGTCAGTTAGGTACCCATCATAGATGGGTGGTCTCAGGGACGATCTACTGACTTGAAGCCGGATTCAAACTCGTGACTTACGGGTTAGCAGTCCAGCTCTCTACCGCTAGACCGTCCCATATTTGAACAAAAGTGAATTACAAAAATAGATAAATAAGTAAATGAAAACATATTCGAAACTTATGTTGAGGTGGGTGGTGAGGTTGTTGGAACATTAAAAAGGATGTGGAGCTATTATATATGTGGGTCATGGAGGAAATCGGAAGGTGGTAGATATGCCTTTTGTCTATTGTGAAAAAAAAAATTATTTCTGACTAATTGGACGGAATGGCAGCTGTAATAACTATAAGTTTAAGTAATTATAAAATACAGAGTTTTATTATTCTAAATTTTTTGTTTTTAACCAAAACTCAAACACATATAGTAAAATATGTTAAATATTTATTTTTTTCTTTTTGTCGCAATTCAATACGTTTTGTTATTTGATATTTATTGACATTCTAATGTTATTTACTATATTTTGGTAACTTTAAGCACTCACATCAAAGATATATATTAGAGGTTTTAAATGTGACCAACATCGCAGGAGAGACTGAGAACTATAATACCACCCTTCACAATTTTGATTTGTTCGTGCTACACCATAGCCAATTGTGTGCATTTGAATCCAAGTTTCACTGGAACAAAGCAGGTTTGTACTTTTTGCCACGACTACGGATGCGACGACCTCGGATATATTTGTGTGTTTATCACCATCTCGTCGATGTTGTCCACTGTTGGCATTAGAAGAAAAAAGTCTGGAACAAACACTGCATGTAACTTCTTAAAGTAAACGGTCGAATGTCGCCCGTGTTTTTTTTCGGCAAGAGACAGTAAAACAAATTGCCGATAACAAATTTTAAAAAATAATGTACAGCTGGAATAAATAAGACTGGCACAGCCTTAAAGGTTCCATCTGCTAGCCATATGGATGCACTTGATTGGCAATTAATGAGCTCTTGACTATAGAGTACAATTTTGTAGAAAACGAAAATAATGACCTAAATATTTGTACATAGAATAAATCGATAAAGAACACCGTGTAATAGCAATTCACTGAAAAATTAATAAAACTAATTTGCTATATTTTATGAAAGCTTTGATCGTTCACATAATCGTTAACATATTTTATATGTATGATACACCTCAACGAATCTCCCATATTATTCCAAGGAGAGCTCAACAAATTAATTAGGTTTAAACAAATGCAGCTTATTGTAACGGAACTTGATAGTAGACACAAGTTCCCACCTGTGGCGGAACTAGAAAAAAAGGGCAACCCCGCAAAAATAATTTAGGCCCCCATATATATATATATATATATATATATATATATATATATATATATATATATATATATCCTTACCTATCTTATCATCTCATTCTATATCTCTATCTTTGTATATTGCAATTTCTTATTACTCTTTATCGCTCTCCCCTAATCTATATCTTTATCACCTTCAAACTTTCTACCTCTCTCATTATACCTGTAATTCTCCATCTGTTTCTCTATCTTTATTTTTCCTTATATTTTTTTTTTCCTTTTACATCTTTAAACTCACCCGTGATTTATTTTGACATTTTTGTAAGCGACAATGGAATGCAATTTTAACCCATCTAGACAGTAAATCAACATAGTAAATAAACACCTTAAGCAAGAACTATCCCACACTAAAGAAGACACGTTCAAGACACGTTCAATTTGAAGTCTAAAGTTGAACGGTGAAAGCCAAAAACAAGTTAGATATACAATGCTAAATGTATATAAATATTATAGTTTAATAAATAAGCTTTCTGAATGTCCATGTTGGAAAAAAGACATGTCTTGTAATTTTTTGTTTACATATGTTTTTATAAAGGGCTGATTGAGCCCATTATAATTATAATATGCGATAAATTATACATTTACTGTTTGTTAATAGGCTTAAAAAGCTGGTACCAAATGGTGCCAGAAAACATATTTTTGAACCAAAATTGAATATTTATAACATTTGTGTTGTAAGTGCAAAATGACTTCCGGTTTTATTAAGACTAGAAATAATCTTTAGTAATATAGTCTAATAGTAATTTAGCGAACATTTTTATTTTTAATTTGGATTATTAGAGTCAATGTGATAGGGAATGTTACATAAAATAATAAAAATACATAACGACGCTATACCCCATAGACCGATTCTGTATACTTTATCATGGAAACCAATTGTTTTAACTTTCATTGTTTTACTCTCCCTGGCCATTTCGGTTAACTTCAATGAGAGGTTGATGGCGGATTAAAAAAAAATATTTGAATTGATCACATTATTCAAAACGGCTTTTCAACGGTTTATATGCAATACAAACTTATGAAAATTAGTGTAATCGACGTTTCCAAAACAGCTTTAAGTTATTAAATTTTAACTTTAATTTTATTGCTTGACATATTTTTAAAACAAATTTTTAAAAAGTGATAATGAAAATAAATAAAAATCCAAGGGACGCTACTTCAACAATGCTAGAGCTCAAAACATACATAGTTAGTTCCCTTATATAGTTTGACATTACAGAGGCAATACAATTAATTGAATAAAATTGCTAACTTTCTATTGATCTAACAAACTTTATTTCAGTAAGTACGATTTCTTTAAATAAAATCATCATCTTCGTTTTTTGCAAACATAGCCGCGTCTATTTCAAAACATTACACTGTCTACGTTCTTCTGCCACTCTTTTCAGCTGCTCACAGTTCATTCATTTGTTTTTAGCCACCTTCAGTATGCTACGTCGCCTTATCCTACTGGCAGCTGGTGTGGTTGTAGCTGGTCAATCGTAGCTGGTCTAAATGTACCTAGTGTAGTTGTAGCTGGTCTAGTTGTAGCTGAGCTATATGTAGCTGCTGTAGCTGTAGCTGGTGTATTTGTAGCTGGTGTATTTGTAGCTGGTGTATTTGTAGCTGGTGTATTTGTAGCTGCTGTAGTTGTAGTTGGTGTATTTGTAGCTTGTGTATTTGTAGCTGGTGTAGCTGTAGCTAAAGTATTTGTAGCTGGTGTATTTGTAGCTGGTGTATTTGTAGCTTGTGTATTTGTAGCTGCTGTAGTTGTAGTTGGTGTATTTGTAGCTTGTGTATTTGTAGCTGGTGTAGCTGTAGCTGGTGTATTTGTAGCTGTTGTATTTGTAGCTGGTGTATTTGTAGCTGGTGTATTTGTAGCTGGTCTAAATGTACCTGCTGTAGTTGTAGCTTGTGTATTTATAACTGGTGTATTTGTAGTTGGTGTCTTGGTAGCTGATGTGTTTGTAGCTGGTGTAATTGTAGCTGCTGTATTTCTGATGTTTTTATGAATGTTAGTTTGGAAATAGCTGTTGTTGTAATTATTGTATGCGCAGCTAATGTAATTGTTTGATTCTTTTGTTGAAGGTGGTCTGGTTGTAGCTGGTTTAGTAGTAGCTGGTGTAGTTGTTTGTTCTGTGGTTGTATTTGGTGTTGTTGTAGCTTATGTGGTTGTAGATGATGTATTTGTAGCTAGTGTAGTTGTTTATTCTGTCGTTGTATCTGGTGTGGTTGAAACTGATGTTTTTTTGGCTCTAGTTTTTTCAGTGTTAGCCTGCGCAAGTTTTTCCTGTTTGGTAATCTGCGTTGATGTGGCCGATATGGCTTCAACCGACGATGATATGGCCGGCGAGGTTTTTTATTTGGCGTGGTTTTAGGCTGTATGCTGATAGCAGGTGTGGTTGTAGCTACTGTATTTGATGTTGTTGTCGCTGGTGTGGTTGCAGATGGTGTGATTGTAGCTGGTATGGTTGTAGCTGGTGTGGTCGTAGCTGGTGTGGTCGTGGCTCTTGTGGTCTTAGCTGGTGTCGTTGAAGCTAATGTGGTTGTAACTGGTGTGGGATTGGCTTTTGTGGTTGTGGCACTTTTGGTCGAAGCTGGTCTGGTTGTAGCTGGTGTATTGGTGGCTGGTGTGGTTGTAGCTGGTGTGCTTTTAGCTGGTGTGGTTGTAGCTGGTGTGGTTGTAGTTGGTGTGGTTGTAGCTGTTGTGGTTGTAGCTGGTTTGGTTGTAGCTGGTGGGGTTGTAGCTGGTGTGGTTGTAGTTGTTGTGGTTGTAGCTGGTGTGGCCGTGGCTCTTTTGGTCGTAGCTGGTGTGCTTGTAGCTGGTGTGCTTGTAGCTGGTGTGGTTGTAGCTGGTGTGGTTTTTGCTTTTGTGGTCGTAGCAGGTGTGGTTGTAGCTGGTGTGGTTGTAGCTGGTGTGGTTGTAGCTGGTGTGGTTGTAGCTGGTGTGGTTGTAGTTGGTGTGGTTGTAGCTGTTGTGGTTGTAGCTGGTGAGGTTGTAGCTGGTGTGGCTGTAGCTGGTGTGGCCGTGGCTCTTTTGGTCGTAGCTGGTGTGCTTGTAGGTGGTGTGCTTGTAGCTGGTGTGGTTATAGCTGGTGTGGTTGTAGCTGGTGTGGTTGTAGCTGGTGTGGTTTTGGCTATTGTGGTTGTAGCTGGTGTGGTTGTAGCTGGTGTGGTTGTAGCTGGTGTGGTTGTAGCTGGTTTGGTTGTAGCTGGTGTGGTTGTATGTGCAGTGGTTGTAGATGGTGTGGTTGTAGCTGGTGTGGTTGTAGCTGGTTTGGTTGTAGCTGGTGTGGTTGTATGTGCAGTGGTTGTAGATGGTGTGGTTGTATGTGCAGTGGTTGTAGCTGGTGTGGTTGTAGCTGGTGTGGTTGTATGTGCAGTGGTTGTAGCTGGTGTGGTTGTAGCTGGTGTGGTTGTATGTGCAGTGGTTGTAGCTGGTGTGGTTGTAGCTGGTGTGGTTGTATGTGCAGTGGTTGTAGCTGGTGTGGTTGTAGCTGGTGTGGTCGTAGCTGGTGTGGTTGTAGCTGGTGTGGTTGTAGTTGGTGTGGTTGTAGTTGGTGTGGTTGTAGCTGGTGTGGTTGTAGCTGGTGTGGTTGTAGCTGGTGGGGTTGTAGTTGGTGTGGTTGTAGCTGGTGTGGTTGTAACTGGTGTGGTTGTAGCTGGTGTGGTTGTATGTGCAGTGGTTGTAGCTGGTGTGGTTGTAGCTGGTGTGGTTGTATGTGCAGTGGTTGTAGCTGGTGTGGTTGTAGCTGGTGTGGTCGTAGCTGGTGTGGTTGTAGCTGGTGTGGTTGTAGCTGGTGTGGTTGTAGCTGGTGTGGTTGTAGCTGGTGTGGTCGTAGCTGGTGTGTTTGTAGCTGGTGTGGTTGTAGTTGGTGTTGTTGTAGCTGGTGTGGTTGTAGCTGGTGTGGTTGTAGTTGGTGTGGTTGTAGCTTGTGTGGTCGTAGCTGGTGTGGTTGTAGCTGGTGTGGTTGTAGCTGATGTGGTCGTAGCTGGTGTGGTTGTAGCTGGTGTGGTTGTAGCTGGTGTTGTTGTAGCTGGTGTGGTTGTAGTTGGTGTTGTTGTAGCTGGTGTGGTTGTAGCTGGTGTGGTTGCAGTTGGTGTGGTTGTAGCTGGTGTGGTTGTAACTGGTGTGGTTGTAGCTGGTGTGGTTGTAGCTGGTGTGGTTTTATGTGCAGTGGTTGTAGCTGGTGTGGTTGTAGCTGGTGTGGTTGTAGCTGGTGTGGTTGTAGCTGGTGTGGTTGTAGCTTGTGTGATTGTAGCTGGTGTGGTTGTAGCTGGTGTGGTTGTAGTTGGTGTGGTTGTAGCTGGTGTGGTTGTAGCTTGTGTGATTGTAGCTGGTGTGGTTGTAGCTTGTGTGGTTGTAGCTGGTGTGGTTGTAGCTGGTGTGGTTTTGGCTTTTGTGGTTGTAGCTGGTGTTGTTGTAGCTGGTGTGGTTGTAGTTGGTATGGTTGTAGCTGGTGTGGTTGTAGCTGGTGTGGTTGTAGCTTGTGTGGTTGTAGCTGGTGTGGTTGTAGCTGGTGTGTTTGTAGCTGGTGTGGTTGTAGCTGTTGTGGTTGTGTCCTGTGTCGATGCGACATCACATTTCGTAGTAGCAGAATCTGAATAAAAGTTAAATCATATTCGCAATATGAAAACACGTCTATAATCTGAAATTTTTAAATGTAGGTAAAGTGTTAAAGAACTAAATCAGAATTGTTATAGGTCAGTGGTTCTTAACGTGGGTTATATCAAACTCCAAGGGTTCGGCGTTTCAGTCAAAATGGTGTTCGGATGAGGTCAAGAAACACGACTCACATGATTCATAATCGGATTTTGTCAGTTCGAACTATATTACTATTAAAAAAGGGATTCGGTGAATGCGCTTATAAGACTGTTGGGTTTCAGTAACTAAGAAAAAATGTTAAAAACTTAGTCGTTAGGGTCACGCTTATCGGTAGGTTTTAGCTTATAACAACAAATATAGCACACAGCAAAAATAAGAAATATACATCACTATTGTGTTTTGATGACTCGCGATCATTTAAACCAGGGGTCTCCAAACTTTTCAGTCCGAGGGCCGCATTACCCATCAATTTCAGTTCGGGGGCTAGTTTCTTCCAGGCATGTCTTTGATTTTTCTGGGCAAATTTCCTCAGCCATCAACAACAGACGATTTTTCCTTGGACAAAAAGATCTCCGCGGGCCGGATGAGAGGACTTCGCGGGCCGCATCCGGCCCGCGGGCCGTAGTTTGGAGACCCCTGATTTAAACTATGAAAAAAGAATGTACCCGACAACAACAGGTGCGGAAATGTATCACATCTATGGGACAAAAGCAATCCAGTAATTTCCCTTGATTACTATCACTTGTACTAGTTTTAGTCAAGTAACAATTAAGCGTTAAATACTCTAACAATATAAATAGTTAATTTTATGTATGTATCTTAAAAGAAGTAGGTTACTAAATAGTTTTCGCCGGTACTATTGAATCAGGGTACTCATATTTTTCGAAATTTAAATAACAATGGTCTAAAAATGTTTCCATGAAATGTAATTCATTAACGTTTTTTACCTGTAGGCCTATTCTTATTGTGTATGTTGTTGCAGTTTTAAAGAGTTTCACTTAGTTTTTATATTGGAATATGTCTCACATGTTATCACATTTATTGAAAAAACGTTATGTTAAACATACTTTGTTATATCTTCGTTCTTGTTAAAAAAAGTACTACTAGTAATATACATTATGCAAACACAATTTCTTTAAAGCATCTTTTTCGGAAAGGAGGGGAAGGGAAATTGTACTAGGGCCACATGCCACAGTGAACGAAAGAGAAACAATATTTCTAATATATATAAACAAATTTACTTTGATAAATGTCCGCCACTCCCTCCACTTACAAACATTTCAGGTGCACCCTCCACCCCCCTCCCCCCCCCCCCCCGTCGGAGAAAAAAATGACTGAAAAAAATCTATGTGTCTAAACCAACGATCGAGGCAAATATACAAGCTCAAAGTGTTAACTTGGTTGTTATTATTTATTTTAATGTATTTATGTATAAATGTGATTAAAAAACTGTACACGCAGGCTAATTCTAATTAAGTTAAAATCGTAATTGTGTCTAACTTGTTGTGTATTGTCTGTTGTAGATTATAAATCCATATCTGCCCCTAACACGTTAAAGTCTTGGTGTGACTATAGATATCGACACAAATCATTTTCTCAACAGGTTGTCACAAATCCTTTTATTAACAAAATGTTATATAACATTGAGCATTTGCACTTAAAAACTACAAATTGTATATTCTACCGAGGTTTTGTAAATTGCATAACTTCAAATCATTATAAACTATAATGAGCTGTCCCTACATTTTTTAATCGAATTAAAATGACTGCAGGCAACGGGATAAGAACAGTGATTGTTATGTAATTAACGCAAGTTATGGTATTATCATATAGGTATTTACTAAATTAAATATGAGATTTTTCTTTTTAGATTCTACATTTTACCCTCCCCTGGCACTAGTCTCTATAAGGAGGCGATACTCTCAGTTTGGAAATCAAAGCTATTAAAAGAAAGAAAAAAAAATTACTTGTTTCCATGCACAGGTAATGGTGAAACTGAGAACATTCATTGTCAAATATCCGTCCAAAGTAGATTCCTACGCAGTCGAATAGGTTACCCTTGAAAGTCTGTGGACTTCCGCTAAACCAAGTCATGTTGTTCAGTGCAGTAGCTGGTTGATTGTTCTCAACCCACACAAATCTTCCCTCGGTTGTTTTATCATTAGCGCCGATCCAGAAGATGTCTTAGGATTGGAAAATACCCTCGAGTAAGTTCATCACATTAAAATTAGCTGAAAACTTTGACTCAAGACAGGCAGAAAAAGTAATTTATGTTGTTAGATTTTCAGTTTTTTCTAGTGTTTTTTTTTCTAGGTTCGTTTTATTAATGAAAATATTTGATGGAGGAAATATATAAAAAGGAAACAATTTTATTTTCAATTATGAAAGACAGAAAAACAAACAAATTAATAATGTATATCGCACTCCCATTAATCAACCCAGCTTTGTTGGCTGCATCACTTACGTTGCTGACTACACTATTTTTTTTTAATTATTAAATAATAGTTCATTATTATATTTAAAAAAAAACTTAATAAATGTATTTTTTGTTACAGAAAAGCTTGTTATTAAAACGTCTTTCGATGCATTTTAAAAACAATTTGAGTCTGTTGAATACGCAAAATACACAACTAGACTTTATTATATAAGATTACTAGAATGACTTGGCTATTTCTTAATAAACTAGTCTTCGGTACCCGTTACACGTTAGTTATACGTCTATATATTTAAATGTTATACTTGATTGAGAAAAATAATATTTTATAAAAATGTTATTAGTCAAAACGCTATGTGCTTTACTACTTGTTGAATGCTATTAGTGACAAAGCAAAGAAATAACTAAATAGCTTAAAAAGGGACACATTTAAAATAACATAGACTACCAATACATATTAACAAAAAAAAACAATTTTTTACATTATTAGTTAGCACAACACCATATTAAATGCACACGTTGTGTTATTTCCTTAGTTTAAACATGTGGCATGTGACGCCATTGTTTATTGCGTTCTTGTCACGACGAAAAACAATTTAGTTATAAATGTGTTTCTACATTCAAATATGTCTTTTACTTTATTTTCCTTCTTTAAATGAAATTGGTTTACCCATTCAAAACATCCAACAAACTATGTTCAACAAAAAGTCTTCAAGTTCTCCATATATAACTTAACATACTGATAACGTTGTCAAAAAAATTGCAGACAGAGATAGATAGATAGATAGATAGATAGATAGACAGAGAGAGAGAGAGAGAGAGAGATATGAAGAGAGAGAGAAGCGTGTATATTTGTTTTTATATATTAGAAAAGTATCATACTTTTTTCAAAATATATAACAGTTAAAAAAAGAAAAGTTTGGTTTTCAATACGTTTTTATAAATTAGGAAAGTGTAATACTTTTATTCAACAATATAGAACAGTTAACAGTAGAATTTTTTTAGTTTTCAAGTTTATATATTGTGCTAAATTTAGCGTCATATTGTGATATAGAAAAATCACATATTGCACTTTTAACATTTTGACACAATGTCAGCAATATAACACATTTAATACGACTCTAAGTTTTATAAAAAAAGTATAAACATACCTGTATTAAACGCTGAACTTATATTATTGAGCTGATTCTGTGAAGAAACAGTCGCAAGTGTACCCCCCATTTTTTCACAGGATGCCTATATGAAACAAACAAAAAATATATTACATGCGTATTGAGTAACAAAATATACCACGAACTTCATTTATAAAATGTCTGACCTTGGCTGCTTCCCATGTTGTTACTATTCCTATGTACACAAAGCAGTTTCCATCAACTACCTTAGCCCCGTTCCATTGGGTTGAACCTGTCAAGTAAAAAGACATGTATTCTAAACATCAGCATAACAAGAAACCCGGCTCTACGATTGTAAACATTTAGCGTGAACCACAACTCACCTGACTTCCTAGAGAGGAAGAGAGGGGACTGCAAGGCGCGCTTACAGCTTGTTTTCTAACGTCTCCAAGAAGAGAATTATATATATAGATACTCACCTTGTACATAACACACGTTGAACCAGAGGCGTAGCGACCCTTCCCGGCGCCCGGGGACATACTTTCAATTTGGCGCCCCCCTCGGGAGCAAATTTTCGATTTGCACCCCCCCCCCCTCGAACTTTTCATTTGCACCCCCCCCTCAAACTTTCGATTTGCACCCCCCCTCGAACTTTTCATTTGCACCCCCCCCTCAAACTTTCAATTTGGCGCCCCCCCTAAGGTCGGCGCCCGGGGACATATGTCCCCCCCCCGCCCCCCCCTCGCTACGCCTCTGCGTTGAACACAGACAATACAAATAGCAGTTGATGTAAATAATCATATGCCATTTTCTAGAGCCTTTAGAGAGTAGCCTATATCTGTAAATAAATGTTTTCCTCTTTGTGATCATACTGGAAGCATATTTTTTTTTACACTTATAACTATTTTAAATTAATTTATGAAGAACCGTTGTTACACTCTGGTATAAATATCAAATACTAGCTGCAAAGTTGTCAGAAGACAGCAAAAAAGAAATTATTATTGTTTTGTTTAGATTTTAATTTTCTTTTCTAGATCATTTACTAAGGATACTATTTGGTAGAAAAAGTGGCATACAATTTATTTTTTAAATTCCTATAAAAAATTATGCGCGAGAGCATGTTAATTTTTATCAAGACCTACAAATATATCCAAATCACAATAAAATGCATATATATATATATATATATATATATATATATATATATATATATATATATATATATATATATATATATATATAAACATATTATTCAATCTTACCATCACCTTTCCAAAATGAATATCTAACGCGCGTATTT